AAAAAAAAAAAAAAAAAAAAAAGAAAAGAAATAAAATCATCCCATCATGAGAAAATAGAATTCTAAACACCAGTAAGGGTGTAGAAATTAAGCGTGTGAGTCTGTGGTGAGACATTAGTGTAGCGTACTGTGTGGATTTTGGAACACATCGTATCACCCTTCCTGCAGAGCTGACCTGGAAGTGGGGTCTGTGGAATGTGCTCACAGGAGATGGGGGTCCTCGCAGCCACACTCCCTCTGGGCCACTAGGTGATGCTGTCAGAGACAGTGGTTTTCATTGTGGATGTGGAGGGAAAGTATCTTAGTAACTTTTAAAGTATGTCACTTTTTAAAAATTACAATAGCATCGTATAGTTATTGTAGTAGATTTAACAAATACAAATGAGCAAAATGAAGAAACACCCACCGAGAATGTTTGTAGAGAGAACTTAGATTTTAAGCACTTACTGCACTAATGCCTCTTACGTACCAGCCTCCCTGGGAAATGTCCCTCTATACAGTCATATATGAGATATGATTCTATTTATTGATAAGTACATCATACTAGTTTTTATTGATAACCCAACATATAGAAGATGGTCAGCAAATATTAGTTGAATGAATTCTTTTTTTTATTTTTTATTAAATCATAGCTGTGTACATTCATGCAATCATGGAGTAAAATGTGCTGGTTTATATACAATTTGAAATATTTTCATCAAACTGGTCAACATAGCCTTCACAGCATTTTCTTAGTTATTGTGTTAAGACATTTATATTCTACATTTAGTAAATTTCACATGTACCCTTGTAAGATGCACCGTAGGTGTGGTCCCACTGATTGTCCTTCCTCCACCCATCCTCCCCCCTTCTGTAGTTGAATGAATTCTTAAGAATGTAATTGTACAGTTCATGAAAAGCACCTAGACCTTATAGTCATTCAGTAAATCATAGCCACACCTTGCACATGTGTTAACTCATTAATGAGTTTACAAAACAACCCTGTACATGTTCTTTGTTGCAATTGCCCTAAAAGAGCTAAGTTTAGTTGGTTGACCCAGTCACCATAGGAAGCCCAAATTCAGCTTCTTA